GATATAGAGAGCAAAGTGATTGTGTATGTATATATGTGTGTGTGTGTGTGTGGACATCGAGTCGTTGGCCAGAAATTTTGGAATCAAATCCGGATTAGATCCTCTTTACATCTTTCCCCCTTTGTTACAATTCAAAAGTGAGATTGAATGCACGCGTTGGCATGCATTTCCGATGATCCGCGATTCATGGTGCGCCAGCACCATGTTAAAGAATCAAGAAATGAACACGAAGACGAGCGAATTCCAAGGAATAAACCTCGCTTCTTTATATTTATTTCCCACTTGTATCTCAATCAGAGTGATCATCTCGGTGAAATTCCAAATGAATTAGAATCCTCTCGTGGATAGCATCGCGTAGGAGCAAAATAACGAGAAAATAGGCGGAAAGAGCGTGTTATGGAAATGGAATCCCCTCCCCTAATATTTTTTCCTAACTCTTATATCTCGATAAAGATCACGCGTTTTCGTTTCGTTGAAAAGTGTGTTGTCGAGGTTAAACCTTGATGGAATCCCATGAATTTCGGCGGAGATTACTCGTGGCACGGCATCTCCGCCGTGTTATTTAACGGCGAGTCGGACGAGGAGAACGAACTTTCGACAGATTGGTTGTCGAAGGGACCGCACCGCGATGGCATCGAGCGTAACCCGATGGCGAAAATTGAAATCGATTTCTCCGGTACTACTCTCGACTTCTCCGTGGCGCAATTTTCAATAGGGATAAACATCCGTGAGTCCGGATTAACGAGAATGATTTAACGGGACCTCGAAGCCCTCAATTTCGTTTACAAATGAACTTGCCGCGGCCGAGGATGGTAATGCGGACAAATTGCGGCCCATCCCTTTAGAGATATTAATGCCTCGGGTGTGCCGTTTTAATACGGGAGGAGAGGAAGATTTCTCAAACTTTTCCGACTTAATGCGCCGTTCGTTCTCTTCCAAGAATTGGGCTAAACTGTGCATACCGCTGTATTAATTAATTAAGACACGTGCAAGAGTATGAATAATTTTGAAATTTTGTTATTTCGTTTACTACCTTACTCGAGGATTTTTTCGTCCAATTTGAGTAATTTTTTAATTATTCTCCGTGATACAAATATGCTTGGAGTTTTGAAAATCAATTTCATATATGATTAGAATTTGATATCAATGAACGATTCCGATTATCATAAATCATTATTTCGATCTCTAAATAATACAAATTTTTAGACTAATTAATTAATTAAGGATAATATTGTCTTAATCTATTAATGATCCCAATAATTGCAAATTACTATTTGATCTCTAAATAATTGGTATCTCGATCAAATACAAACCCATCGTGTAGAATTTCTCTTGGACCGTGTTTCCCCGTGGTTTTCGAGTGTCGCAATAACCACGATTCGCGTCCGCAAACACAGTCCAATTCATTTTATCACGCTCAACATTCGAAACGAGCATGAAACATTGTTTCGATCGCGGCTTAACGAACTGGTTTCGCGAGTAGCATAACGAAAAAAAAAAAACAAAAATCTTGTTTAGATGGCATTGCGACGAGAAACACAATTATTAATCTCGCGGATTAATCTATTTTATAGGGATTTGAAAATATGATCGAAACTGAAATTCCGTAACAAAATGCATTTTATTCGTGGACGTTCGACGCATGAATGAAGCATAATGTGGAAATGAAAAATGGAACGAGAAGGGAATTTTAACAAAGCGATACGAAATTGTCACGGGCTTGCGTCAAATAAAACAATAAAACGTTTCTCTTGGAAATTTCGTAAAATGATTTTGTCGAATAATCTATGATTTGATGCAATTTGAATGGGGCAAGATTCAAATTGCTTTAAAAAAAATAATATATTTGGCGAGAAATATAATTTTATATTACATTCGATGTATCACCAAAGTCGAGCAAGATTCTCGATGGCGGATATCGGTTTTCGATTAATGCAAAGAACGATAATGCAAACGAGCGAGAAATGCAACGAAATTCAAAAAAATGTTATGCGCATTGACGACAGCACTTGTGTTAAATGCGCGTACAAAAGAAAATTCTTTTTCGTATTTAAGAAAAGTTCATGATTTATACGCTTCAATCGCGTATAAAATGATACATAAAAATTCGATGAATAATATAATTCATTCACGATAATATTCGAATGAAATTCACTCGAAAATTTCTGGTATTTTGTCATAATTAAATTACTGAATGGAACAATCTTGGCTAGGATCGAATTAAGTGAAAATTATTTGGAATCATTGTTGGAACCAAATGTTCTAGTGGAGAGCATGCATGTTGCACTCATAATAGTTTTGAAGTATCGCGAAATCTATGTAAAGCAATTCGGTAAATGGATAACCGGAAATACGTGGGACCAAGCTCGGAAGATAACAGTTGCTGCGGTCGAGTTTGCGACATTTCAGCCAATGGGGATGTGTCGAGAAGGACTAGTGTTATTCGCGCTATGCCGAACCATTGGAGTAATTGGACTAATTACCCTACGCAATTATCCGGAATTAATCGAGATAAACCGCTTAATTAGCACCACGTTCGTTGTTGCTTGCTACAGTATTCGTTGTTGATTCCAACTACCTCGAAATATATTATAGATTATTCGAGAATCTTCATCTCGATCCTCTTCGTAACGATCTTGATTGCTCGAATCAATATTTCGTGCGATGGTGAAATTTCTGAATTGATTTTTTTTTTTTTCAAAATAAAATATTTCAAACCGTTTTAACAAAACTTAATTACGGTGGTTCTAGATACAATATTTACACAAAATCAAGGCAGAAAATCAATTTTATTTCATAAATAAATTTTCATCTAAATATTATATCATAAACGCACGAAATAGAAAATACATTTTTATCTGCAACACGCCTTCGAGATACGTTCAGAAAATATTTTACAACGTCCTCTTGCTACAGCTAAACTAAACATTATTACAGAAATTTTATATATAATCAATTTTATTCCCCGATATTCGAATATTCAATATATTTTTGCACTAAGATTCAAATTTTCCATAAGAATTCACACTAGTTTCTGCAACGATACCGATCACAATCCAATAAACTTTCAATGCTTTTCTCTAGTTTAACATCTGCGCAACATAGCATCGAACGCCGTTTAAGTAAATTATTCCGCAAAAGGAACCAACCACACTCGACTCGAGCGAGCGAACAGGACGAATCGAATTAAAATCGTAGTTCGATTTCCGGCCGCGCTTAGTTTGCTTCGTCATCAGACAAGTTCACACGGCGAGTTTTCCGTAGTTGTTGGTTAACGTAGCCGCTTCCGCACCGTTTTCGATTGGCCAATTAAGATTTACGCGTTCCCAGCAATGACACGACGATACTGCGCACGGTTCGACAGTTCCCATGAATTTATCGTTTTATCGTTTGTTCCTATGCCAGCCAGATATCCGCGCCAGAACGACGTGCCACGTTCCTCGATCGGATTTATTCGCTGCCAGGGGNCCCCCCCCCCCCCCCCCCCCCCCCCCCCCCCCCCCCCCAAACAACATTCTGAACGTCATAAAGGAACGAGATAACGACACGATCATCTATCGGCATATGCGCAATATTTTTTCTTTTTATTTTTCTATTATTTTTTTTTTCTTTAATGCATTTATACGCATTTATGCGATGCGAAATTTGTACCATGTGATTTTTTATTAGATTCTTGAAGACGATTTTTGAGAAGCTAGTTATCCGATTTTGGGGGATGAATCGGTGTGTATAAAGTGAGGAATAATTTTTCAGTTTTTTTTTTTTTTTTTTTTGATAGAAAATAATCGATTATAAAATTCTATTATATTTTAGCAACTTTTTCAATTTTATATCAAATAGAATATCGGTTAGTTTGTAATTTCTAGAATTCACATTTGTAGATGCGTGTATTCGTTTCATTGGTGAACTTGTACTCTCGTTAGAGAGGGGGAATATATTATTAATTATAAATTCGAGAAGGAAGTTTGCTAATAACTTTGGTTAATAATGTTCAAGAGAGAAATTCTGTGTTTAATTTTAAATTATACGATAATAATATTGGTGCAACAATATTAAAAAGCAACGTCATTAATTATTTCTTTCGCGTATCTCAATTTATATTCGAATTATATTTAATATTTGCTTGTAACTTGGAAAAAAAGAAAAACACGAATGGCATATTGGAGTTTTGACATAAAAAGGGAACTTTATGAATAATAGTAGACACCGGAAAGCATTTTCAGGAAAACTGAAAATATTTATATACGATATTTGCAGAACACGAGCCGTTTTAACCAAAAATATTTTTGTTCCTCCATTTTACATCCCCCTAAAAAAGTTTCGAACCCCTTTGTTTTCTACTCCTGTCGCTCACGAAATGAATGCTTCGTTTACAGTTTTCATTTGAACGTATTGAAAAATACATGATAAAACTCAGACGACGAAACGTTGCTGCAAGAATATTATAACAATTCCTTTGCTTTCCATTGCTACTTCATCATTTTAATTGGATTTAGTGACTTTCGTCCTTACGACGAAATTACAAATATTTCAATCTCCATCGTTGAACATAAATATTTTTCTCTCGTTATTTTATCTTCGTTAATTAATACATTCTTTTATTACGATTAAAAACAATAACGAATCATCATCAATACACTCACAATACGATTATATCTCTCGAATACTTTTTAAAATTGAAAAAAAAAAAAAAAAAAAGAATCACATTATCCCTATTCCAATCTCTTTCGTCAACCAACTTCTTCGTATACCATTCTCGATTACATTCAAGGCCAATTTCATTAATTTTGCTCAATTTCGCAAAGTAGCTTCGTTAGTAAAAAAAAATTATACTTACCCGGCCAATGACGTGGCCGGAATAATTAAGACGGCCAAGTCGCGTCGAATATTAATAAAATCCTCCCCCCTTTTCTCCCGCGTCGTAATTAACCCGGCAAAAAATTAATAAATTAAAAATTAATAAATCATTCACACTGACCGTTGACAATTATCTGTTACAGAGCAACAGAAGCCAGCCAGCCATCGGATTGAAGCAGACGCCCAAGGCTCGGGTAAGTTTTTCCACCCCTACGTTGGGCAAAATCCACCTCCTCCGTTGCTACCCCTTTTTGCCACGCGGAAATTCAAATAAGGAGAACGATCTCGCCTCGAAACTAGTTAGCAGCAACTCGTTAGAGGGTCGATCGATGCCCACCTCGACCGAGTTCCACCCGTACTTTTGACCAAACAACTTTTTCAAATCTCTTCCTTTTCCCAGCCTCCTCCTCCGAGGAAAGTTGAAATAGGCGAACGCAATCCCTTCTCTCTCTTTATCTTTCTCTTCAACTTTTCACCTACGTGTACGTGCGCTCGTATATCTTCGCGAGGCAGCGAACCACGAAATCGGCGGGGAGGGGACGGAGGGACACGTAGTATAATTTTACGACTTTAGTTTCGCCAATTTCTCGAAAGTATCGGGGGCGGGGAAGGGGGGTTGAAACGACGTCGTCGAGACGTTTGTTTGTAATTTACGATCGTGGAATCGCGTGTCGTGCAATCGAGCATCCGGTTATTCAACGTTAGCTTGTCCCCTTGACGAAATCCTCTTGCATTTATATGGGGTGTATATATTTTAGAATCGACGATTTTCGGCTATTGGGAATTGTTCTAATTCGATTCTCTTTATGAATTACTCGATAAAGTTGCCATCGAATAGAAATTGTAGTAATTAAAGCGATAAATAATAAGGGGATAATTTCCAGTTTGATTATCGTAACTGGTTTAAATTAATTAGCATTGTTTACTGTCGTATATATTTACCTTGAATAATAACATCGATTATTAATAAAATTCGATGATGGAAATTGAGCGATATTTACAGGGTAAGTAATTAAATTTCGTCAAATGGAAAAATAATCGAAATAACAATCGAAACTCGCTCGAAAAAATTGAAGCTTTTCCGAATCGAATTGATAAACTTTAATAAAGTTAATCGAACGAGGGATCTTTGCGAAGAAGGCGATTTTTTTTCTTTTCTTTTTCTTCTTTTTTTTTTTTTTTCTTTTTTAAAGATCGACGACGAGGTTCGTAGGACCGTTGTGACGATCGTTCGCGGGCGTAACATTACACGCCTCGTGTTAGAGACAACCGGGAAGAGGAAGCGTACGGGCGAACAAAGCCACTAAATGACATACTCTATCCACGGGTGCACGTGACGCGTGCGCTCGGTTTTAATCCCCACTGGGCCTACTTATTCTGCCAGACAGACGGGGACAGTGTGGAACAAAGGGGGCAAAGGTTGGATATCTCTGTCTCTAGGTGGAAAAATCACCGGGAAAACAAACGGGAAGCTGAGACGGAAACGACCGATGGTTTGTTCGTTACAATGGATTCACGCGAGATAAGTTAATTGACGAGGACAAGTTATTAATTTCTCGATCGATCGATGATCGAGATCGTCGAACGACGAAGGGAAATAATTTTTCTCGAGAGAATTGTTAATCGTGTAGGGGAATTTCGTGGAGATTCTCGTTTCTCGAACGAAGAATAATTTTTAATTTTTTGTTTAGAATTTCAGTTTTTCTATTACAATATTTATAATCGATTATAATTTCGCGTTACATTCTAGTAAAATTCTTTTTGTTTCAGTTTTTGTATTACCTCATATCCCGTACACGGTGTATACTGCATATTCCGTGTCTCGTATACCACATATTCTATGCAGTAGAGAAAGTCTTTTTACTTTTCACTTTTCATCTGCTTCCTCTTTTTTAATCTTCCGCTTTTCCGCGCAAAAGCTTTGACACATCGCGCCCCAGCCAAAACCGTGTATCGATTACTTTTATATAACGCGAATTTCAGTAACTATTTAACGAGTATTTTCGCGAATTATTATTACTTCGATAATTCGTAGATGTAAAATTTGTCGATAAACAAACTTTCTAAATATTTAATTCACACTCGAATATTAGGATTTCAATTTTTAATTACATATGGCAAAATGGCAATAAAAGGATAAATGTATCGATATGCTCAATTTAATTCGTGTAACTCAAAAATGTAATAGTATTACTCACAACACCGAACAAAACTAAAAATTCCATTTACGGCCATTGCCAGACAACAAAAGCTGTCCCTTAAATTGAATCAAATTACGCGAGTGAATCCCTCGATTTCACCAATCCGCCATCCGATCCATCGTCCTTTAATTAACGTAATGATCGATGCGTCACTAAAATCTCGCTTCCCCCTCCTTCGATCTCGAATAAAATCGATCGATCGCTTCTCGAGATCACTCAACTCGGTCGGAATCATTTGTCATCGTAGCCACGTTTCATTTTTCACCCACGAAAAAAAAAGAAAAAAAAGAAGAAAAAAGAAAAAAGAAAAAGGTTTCCTCGACTTTTCAATAGCGTTGTTTCGATCCGTTATTTCGTTCGAAATAATTTCCAGGGCCGTGGCGCGAACGAAAACCAAAGGAATGGCAACGTCCTACGGAACGACGCGAAATCGCGCGGTCCAATTTCGCGAGATTGCTTGCCGGGGCGACCTCTCTCCTTTGGGAGAGCCATCCTCGTGGAAAAGAGCTTCTTCGAGGGTGCTCGTATTTTTTTCCAACTCCTCCCCATTCGCGAAAAGGAAATGCGGCCTTCCTTCCTCGAAAAAGGGAACGCGCAGCCAATTCTACGATAGCCTACAATAGCCTGTCAGATGCAATCCGGACGGATTGTCTAACGCTCGTATCCTGCAATGCATTACCTTTAATACGCCATTCTTTCGGAACTGCCCACCATTCCTCGCCCAGATTTAATTTGTTGACGTTGCACGTATCGATTATACGTATAACGGCGTGTACGTATGGATGTTTTGTTTCTCCATTGAAGAGAGTACTAGCTTTTTCTTTCTCTCTTTCTCTCTCGAGTATTTTTTGTTATTGTTGTTCGCGCGTTTCGTGCCATTTTTTACAATTTCTTGAACTGAATATTTATTTCTACTGTATCTTCTCGAGACGTATTTTCGTCGTAATCGTGTTTTCTTTCCATACAAATTGAGTTAGAAGAAAATTCCTTTTGATTACGAAAATTAATTAATATTTATAATAAATAAGTATCGAAAAAAGAAGGATTATACTTTAAGGAAAAAATAAAATTTCTCTTTGTCTACTCGATGTACCAACTAGCTTATCGTTATCGAAGAATACAGAATGGGAAGGATAAAAACAGCATTCGTTTCATTTTCACAAAGTATAGAATTATCTCAAACTATAATTAAGATTTCTTGAAATATAAATTGAATACTTTGTCTTCCTCTTTGATGAACTTTATATTTGTCAAAGCATAACCTCTTCTCCTCTGTTTCTAATTATATACATTTTAATGGTCACAAATGCTTGTGTCTGTAAAATTTCAGAATATTCACCAGCAAAATTCGCGCGATATGCATATTTCACAATGCGTTAGAAACGTCGATTTTATACCTCGTTACATTTTACTGCCTCTGAAGCATGCGATGTGGAAACGTCTCTGAATTATAACTACTGTGAACTCTACTAATTTAACTAGCCGATGAGGTGAGATTGTGCCCTGGAGGAAGCGCTAACCTTCATCAAAGTGCATATAACGCAAGGAGTGGATACACACGACAGTGTCATGATTAGTCGTGACACTGATTTTTAATACTCGTGTCGATAAAACTCTTATCGAAATTTTCACGATTGAAATTTTCAATTAAATTTTCGTTATTATAATCTAATACGGAAACCGATTAAATGTTTGATCCATAGAAAAATTAAATGCTTTGGAAATTAAATTTTGAAAACATTTTTAACTAAAATTTGCTCGTGTTTAACATACGTATACGTTTTCTTTTTATATTCTATTAGCAAGAGAATATAATAATATAATAATAAATAATTAGCAATAGAATATAAAACACAAAGAATAATTTAATAATGGAAATTCAAAAACAGAAATGAATTTTTTCTTGTTAAAAACATTCTAAAATAATATATATTTAGTTAAATTTCCTGTACTTTTTATTGTAGTTTTTTTTATATCAAATCGTATATATATATATCGATTCATTTAATGAAATTATATAATATCCTGTTCATTGAAATTCTGTTTATCTTTTGAAAGATAAAATGATATATCTATCTCGAGAAACAACGTTCCAATTTTAATACATATAATCAAAGAATATTTTATATACTTTCTCGAAACATTATTAAAATTTTTCACCAAATTTATTCATTATATAGATACAAATTTAAATAATAAACTTTCACATTGCTATTAAAAAAGAAATAATAAAAATAAAAATGTAGTTTTTTCGGATTCATGATTAAATTTAAAAATCCATTTTAAATAATTTGACTTACGGAATCATAAAAAATATATCATTTCTAATATTATCGTTCAATTAATAACTATTAATCACTGACCAATCACTGCATTCGAACATTTCAAACTATGAATAATCGATTACTAACCACGTTTCTCGCTCACTTAATCCTTGACTTTCCTTCGCTTGACCTGTTTCATCCCCATCCAGTTCCGCAATCGATTTACGACCATACTAACTCAAAAGTGATCCATTATATATAATTTTAATATATTTGCCAGAGAAATTGAAAGACTTTGCATGCGTTAATGATCCGCAACTGCCATTTTTAAAATAAGATATCATTGCCTATATGTATTTCAGGAAAATGCATCGATTTTGAAACACAATTTCGTTGGTTTATCCGAAATAGAAAATTCACGATATATGGGCGATTTTGTTCGAACCGTGTTACCATTATCTTTTCGATTATGTTTCTCGTTTCCTAACCGCATCACGATACTAGACAATACATTTTGCGTGAATGCACTCTCGAAATACAACTGTATTGTAAACAATTTGGTCAAAATAAATAGGATATTTATCGATAAATATTCCATTCATTGTTAAATATTGATTGATCATCGATCTTTTTTTTTTTTTTTTGATAGAATGTGATTAAACAAAATTTTAAACGTCTAGATTTCAAAGTTTTTAAATGGATTGTCATTTTCTATGAAACATTTCAATA